AGCAGAGTTTAGGGCTGTTGTACATAGGGTCGCTATGAGTGGCAAGCTACTTGATGGCACGTAACAACAACAACAACAACAACAACAACAACATACTATTATTGTCCTTTGGAGGGTAACTTATGTCACTCAGCATAACTTGTTCTAGATTCATCCATGTTATATAGTATTTCATTTATCAAGAATTCAGATTAATGTTCTTACACACACATCTGGCATTCCCTTCTGCTTAGAGCTATTTGGTGCCTCCTTATTGCCATCAGGATAAACAATTACCAGTTCTTCCTAGCTTTCCATCTCTCTCTCCTCCAGCCTCATAATATTCTCTCATTGCACTGAGACTACAAAGTCTTTGCTTAGCCTGTGCCTTCAGCCTGAATACAGGTGCATGAGGGACTGAAGGAAGAAGAACAAAGGAAAGCTCAAAGTGATTGGAGGAGGAGAAAGAAGATATCCATATGGGAAATGAAAACAAGTAGGAAAGAAGGAGAGAAAATGAGACAGAACAGGAAAGAAAGCAAAATTATGAAGAGAATAGACATGACACAGTAGCTTTCTCATAAACTTCCTGTCTGCTGCTTCCAGGTCTTCTCTTCCATCCAGGACTAACTCCTATTTAGAAAGAATTAAAGCAGCAGTTGGTGATTAAACTCTAAGAGATGTTTACTTCATAATTATTTACAAGAAAATCCCCTGGAATTTTATTTCTGTCAGTCTTCTCCCACTCCCCTTTCCCCAAGAATTTAGTCAGTGACTTAATAAAAAAAATATTGACTTTACAGCTTATTTCCTGGATAAACTAAGTCTCTCTGCTCACAATAATAAAATGCTCTAGTGTACTTTCCAAGGACTGTCAGATGGATGTGGAAAAGAAATTTAACCACAAGGAAGCAACAGGGGTTGTTTGGTGGTTTTTTTTTTTTTCAGTCCAGGGAAAGGAGGCTTCAGTTGTTACTTTTGAAGAGCATTTTCTCATTCAAAATGTAAAAAAAAGCTGATTGCTGTTGAACTAGAACTGACTCATAGCTGACCTCCCAGCAGGTTTCCAGAGGCTGTAAATAGGCACCTGGATAAGGATGGCAGAAGAAGAATTGATGCCTTTGAGCTGTGGTGTTGGAGAAGAGCACTGAACATCCCAAGAGAACAAACAAATATGTCTTGGAGAGGGTGCAGCTGGAGTGCTCTTTGGAGGCAAGAATAATGAGGTTTTGCCTCACATACTTTGGGCATGTTGCTAGGAGGGGCTATTCCTTGGAGAAGGACATGATGCTGGGAAGGGTGGAAGGTCGGCAAAGGAAAGGAAAAATCTCGACCAGGTGGACTGGTGCTGTGACTGCCACAATGGGCTCTTGTGTGTCAGGAAGTGTGAGGATGGCACAGGATAGAACAGAGTTCTGATCTTTTGTTCACAGGGTCATATGAACAGTACTTGACTCAACGGTACCTAACAAGAATAACAAATTGCACAGGAGGAGATTGCCAATCTTTCTCCTGCAGAGCTGGTGGATTCACACCACCTGCCTTTGGGTTGGTGGAGCAATTTCTTAACCATTAGGCCACCAGAGCTCCATATGGGCAGTCTGGCAGGGACAGTGAGAAATAGTAGGGAAAATCCTGGTCTGGGAGTTAGGAAAGTTCCCAGTGCACGTGCTATTTATCAGGTGATCCAGGGCAAGCCCCTTATCCTCTGCATCCTTAGTTTTCCCTTTGATCAGTAAGAAATAGGCAGAGCTACCGATCTCTAAGGACCTTGCTGTTCTAATATCAGCCCCAACTTCAGTCTTCTAGTATGAGTACGTTGGAGGTTGCTGAACTTGAGGAATAAATATTATGCGAATGCCAAGATTTGCCCAGTAGATGCTGTAACTCCTGTCTTCAGGGAGAGCATAAATGAACTCTTGGTTGTCTTTAAGCCCCAGAGTCCTTTTGCCAAACTGGAGTGGTTTATGAGCAACTGTTTCTTCATTTCCAAATCTTTATCATAGTTATAAAGTTTTCCTCCATCCTGCTTTTTTCTTAGAAAACAGCTTCACCTGTTTCCTTTATCAAGATTGAGGCAATGAGGAATGAATGCATTTCATTTTCTGTTCCTAAACCATTCCTTTTATATATGCCTGAACTTACTCATAACTCCTTTCCTCCAAGCTTATTGATAACCTCAGGTTATGGGAGTTGGTCCCCATCTTGGGTCTTGGATGCCTGTCCCTCATGTCTGCTCCAGAATCTAGGGCTTGTTTCAACACTAGTCCCCATTTATCCCATAGTTTCCAGCTCTCTCTTTCTGCTGTTTAACTCCCAAATGTATAAACAGCTCTTCTTTGTTCAGGAAAGAAAAACACAGCTCCTCAATCCTTACTGTTATTATGTGCTATTGAGTTGGAACTCACTCATAACTGGTTGTCAGAGGCTGTAAATCACATAGAAGGAGACTTCTTATCTTTATCCTGTGTAACAGCTGGTCTATTCAAACTGCATGTCTTTGGGTTGGCAGCACAACTCCTTACACTAGAGACCATCAAAGCTCAATCCTTTGATACCATCAAGTTATTGCTATATCTTTCATCTTTACAAGCAAAGTCCATACATACTGGATTTTATTTGCCATCTATAGACTTCCTATATATCCTTAAATATTTTTTTTTGAGAGATTGGAACTTTTATACAATGTTGATGAGATTGTAAAATGGTACAGCCCTCTGGAAGGAAGTTTGACATATCTTAAAAAAGCTCCACATAGAAATTCCATATGACCCAGCAATCCAACTGCTAGGAATATACTCAAGAAAATTAGAACTGGTACACAACCTGAGATTTATACACTGATATTCACAGCAGTATTATTCATAATCACAAAACCATGAAAACAGGCCAAATGTCCAACCACAATTGAATGGATTGAAAAATTGTGGTACATTCACACAATGAAATGCTATGCAGCACTCAGGAACAATGATTTTCAAAGATAGTATATAACTTGGGAGAGACTAGAGAGCATAATGCTAAGAGAATTCAATTTCATAACAACAAATACTGTATAAAACCATTGTTGTAAAAATATTGTTATGTGCTGTCAAGTCACCTGTGACTCGTAGCAACCCTATGTACAATAACTCTGAACCCTGCCCTATCCTGAGTCCGTCTCACTGATTCTGACACACCTAATTCCGCTGCCCAGTTACCGTGTCAATCCATCTCATCTGGGGTCTTCCTCTCCTGCACTGTCCCTCTACCCTTCCAAGCATGATGGCCTTCTCAAAAGGCTGGTCCCTCCTGGCCACATGCCTAAAGTATGAGAGATGGAACTTCAAAACCCTTGCCTCCAAGGAGAAACTTATTTGCATTCTCTCCAAGACAGACCTATTTGTTTTCTTGGTTGTTCACAGGATGTTCTATATTCTTCTCCAGCACCACAACTCAAAGATATCAATTCTTCTTCTGTCATTCGTCTTACTTACTCATTGTCCAGCCCTCTGATGCATAACAAGGAATTGCAAAGACCATGGCATGGATAAGGTGCACCTTAGTGTCTAGACTGACATCATTGCTCTTTAGCACTTTAGAGGCATCCCTGACAACAGGCTTGGTACGTGTGTTCCCTTGGCATGTAAGTCTTTGTTCATCCTTTTCCCTACTCCATCAACATCCCCTTCCAATACCACCTACCCCATTTAACACCTCCCTTCCGCTTTACAACCCTCAATCACTTCTGTGATGTCTAATGTCTAGTACTGCTTTCAATCTCTTGTGAGTGTAGGAGTCTCTAAAAATAGGAGAGTAACTAATAAAATATGTATGGAGGCCAGTGGAAGAAAGGGTGAGTATAGAAGAATAAGGGTGGGTAGGGGAGAAATCATGAGGTCACATAATTTGATGGGTGGAAAAAAGGAGCTTCTTCTAATGACTAAAGCAGGGAGCTCTAGTGGCTTAGTTGCAATAAGCTGCGCTGCAATCCCTAAGGCACTAAGTTCAAGTCCACCAGCTGTTCTGCAGGAGAAGGATGGGCTACCTTCTCCCATCTGATAATTCAGATTAACTGTCTCTGAAAACCTGCTGGAGGGTGAGCTATTAGTCAGTTCCAACTTGATGGTACACAACAACAACAATGATTAAAGTTATCAGATTATAGTTCTCTACTGATATCTTATTAGAAAAATTGAGCCCTCACTTCAGAGATAAAACCTGAGTTAATCCAGGTTTATTATTAAGAAATCTTGAATACACAATCAAACGGATCAAGAATTATGGTACATTCACATGATGGAATACTATATAGCATGCAGGAGCAATGCTTTTATAAATCACTGCCTAACTTGGGAGGGACTGGAGAGCATTATGCTAAGTGAACTCACTCATTCCCCTAAGGACAAACACTGTATAAACCATTATTGTAGAAATAGAAAGATAACTAGTAAAATGTGTATGAGCACCCAAGGGGGAGAGGGTAGAAGTGAGGAGAATGGACAGGGGGGCTAATCATAGAGTTGTACAATCTGATGGGTAGAGGGACAGGTGGGTAAAGGGAATGGGAAAGATTTGATGTGAAAACAATGTATATGAACTTTGTAAGTAAACCAGTATAAAATAATTTTCTTTTTAAAAATCTTCAGCAATAAAAAAATAATCACTGAGAGGGAAAGAGGGAGAGAGGGAGAGGGGGAAAGAGGGAGAGAGAGAGGACGAGAGATCTTGAATTATAATGTAACCTGGAAACCATGCAGATTTTTCTGAACCTTGTAGAGGTCACTTCCCATCAGTCCGCACCTCCCTAGGTTGCATTTATTGTCTTTGAGCCTAGAGTTTCTCTGACTCAGCATTTTCAGAGGGTGAAAATGATAGCTAAGAGGAAAAGTTCTCAAGTAAGCATACTTACTCATTACCATTGAGTCAGTTCTGATTCACAGTGACCATTAGGTTTCCAAGGCTGTAGATTTTTTTTTTTTTTTTTTTGGTTTTCAGGTTTTTATTGGGGGTTGGAGGGGAGGGCCCATCCTCGGAGGTGCTCACAGTTTCTTCAGCCACTCCAGGCTGGGACCCAGGGGGTCCTGGGGGTGGTTGGGCACGTCAGGCATGTTCCCATCATCTCGGAGGGGCACTGGGTAGCTGTAGGGGGTGACCGCATTGATCATGGAGGCATACTTGGTGTAGGGGCTTAACGAGGGCAGAATTACAGCGAGACCCGCGATGGTGAAGGACACGACCAGCACCGGCTCCTTGTCCCAGGCATTCTTGAGGAAGGCTGCGAGTCTAGTCGCCATTGTAGCCTCCGCGGCGGCAGCTGCAACAGCAACCAAGGCTGTAGATTTTAGTAGGTAAAGACAGCCCATCTTTCCCCAAAGAGAGCTCCTAGTGGATTTAAACCAGTAGAGGTGTATGGCCTTTTTTGGTTAGCAGCACAGCACACTACAGACCAGGCCATCAGAGCTTACTAAAGACACCAGGAGACATAGGTATTTCTGACTTTAAAAGGACTCAGCACCTCTAATTACAAATAATTGCTGACGTGTACTGGGATCCCATTCCAATATCTCTATTGTAAGATGGTTCTGATACATGTGAAATATCTCATTATTTTTAGTTCAGCATTGATATTTCCTCTGATTATCAGTATCTTTAGTAGGTAAATATCTTCATTATCAATATCTGCTGCTAACCTAAAAGTGGTACCTCTTTGACAGTTCTAATCCATCAGCAGCTTCTGTGGGGGCAAGATGAGTAATTTCCTCTTGTGAAATACACAACCTCTGAAAACCTGCTGGAGGGTCAGCTATGAGTCAGTTTCAACTTGACTGTAATTACAGAGAGAGAGAGAGGGAAAAAAAATCAGTATCTGTATAAATTTGAACTTTGTCTTTGCGGGTTGACTGATAACCCCAACAAATTAAATGTTGCATTGTATGTAGCACATATTACTAACAATAAAATATATTCATCTCAGCCCCTAAAGAAGCTACAGATGTTAGAGCAGTGTACTATAACTGAAATACCTCGTTTTTAAGTCAGGAATTCCTTATAGTTTGCATCTTATAGGCTTTTCCTACACAGACATTTCACTTTCCATGCTCTACATCTGCAATTTCCCAATGCAGCATATCCACTCGCCAAATGTGGCTATTAAGTCCTTTAAATGTGACCACTTCCGTAAAAGCTGACCACTTCCGTAAAAGCTTGCCTCCTGGAGAAAGAACGAAAGTTATACCAGTGTCCAGGTCTTTCATTCATGGGGTCGCTATGAGTTGCTATGACTTGACGGCACTTAACAATAACAACAACAACGACGACAGCATAGAGAGAGATCAGTTGGCCTAATGAACAGAAAGTCATGCTCTCAAGCCAAAGGTGGGTGACTCTGGGAGGAAAGACCTGGCAATCACGGAGAGCCCATGGAGGGCAGCTCAGACACGCACAGTCACCAGGAGTCAGCAGCACGTCCACTCCCTGGTGAATGGTTCTGTGTGCGGCATCCCACCAGGAGTTTAGGGAGGGCTGCGGGGCTGGGCAGGGGTGAGGAGTCACCCTGGAGCGTGGACAGAGCCCAGAGCCACACAGAGAAGAGTCCAGGCCTGAGTGGACGCTGGATCCTCGTGGAGAGACTGCACAGGGATGAGCAGCAGGGAGATCAGGAACGGGGTGACTGGGCAGAGGAGACACGCCCAGGGTGCTGACCTGCCATACAACCTCCCCTTGCTCGCAGAGGCTAAGGACGATTTCCCAGTGGCCTGCAGCCCTCAGGCCTGCCTTTACTTATTGTTTGTGAAACATTCTTCTAGGGTGTATAATCCCGGTATGTCCACTTGCTGTACAGAGGTAAACTGTGGTTGCTGTGAAGCTAAACACCGTGATACTAATGAGTCAACTGCGAGAATGGTTACCCATGGTGGACAGTGTTTGGTGGAGCTCCTCTATTAAAACAAGCTTGGAAGCAGGAGTGGCATCCACTTCTGTAATAGCTTGCCTCTGGAAACCCTATGAACCTGGAGAAAGGACGAAAGTTATACACTGGTGTCCAGGTCTTTCGTTTATGGGGTCACTATGAGTCACCTCCGACCCAATGGCACTTAACAACAACAACAAATGTGACTAGTGCTACACATGTTGAAATAATAGCATTCAGGACTACTGAGCTAAATGAAATATATTAAAATTAGCACCACTTGTTTCCTTCTACTCTCTAAAAAAGAAGTTACAAATTAAATTACATATATAGCTGGCATTCTATTTCTTGTAGACATTATTCTTATGGATCTTACACAATTTTATAATTTTATTATTTTTTATTATTTTGTGTGTCTGTACTGTTAAATCAGATCTGACTGGTACAGGAGATTGCCCCTTCTCCAGCAGAGGCATCTGGTGGATTCAAACTGCACACCTCTGGGATTGCAGTGCAGCCTCTTACCACTAGGCCACCAGAGCTCCCTATAATTTTAGATTTTGTCTTCTGTCATGTCTCCCATTTCCTTTAATTGTATAGTTTCTTCACTTTAACTGTGCTTCCACTTTTGTGAGGTGTTTGTCATGTTTAACTGAAAGTTATAGCTAAGCTTTTCACAGTCTTCCTGTTATTAAGTACCATCAAATCCCAACCAAACTATAGCTGATCTAGTACATTTCCAGAATAACAATTCCAAATAACACAGAAGACTTCCCTTATTTCTCTCCTGGAGCAGCTCACAGATTTGAACTCTGTGCCTTTGCACTGGCAGCACAATTTCTTACCACTAAGCCTCCAGAGCTCCTAGTCCCTGCTTATCTTTGTAGTCTATCACTCTGTGTCCTTTAATCTACCACATGGTCAAAGTGAATTAGTGGCCACTTTCTGAATACATCAGGAAGCTTTTCGTTTTCACACTTATGCTCTGTTTACTTTTTTTTTTAAAAATATCCTTCTAGCCCCTCCACAAGTCTCCCTAATAAGTTGCTCATTCTTCAGAACCTAACCTGAATTATCACCTCCTCTGAGGAGGTTTTTTTGGCAACTCTTTCCAGTTGAGCTGACTATTCAAAAGCCCAGAAATATTTCCTGTATTTTCTCACTTCATTGTCTCTTTACTTTATAAAGGACCCTATCTGACTCATCAGACCATCTAGGGCCAAGTTCAGAATCTGACACACAACAAAAAAAGAAAATTAATGTTTGTAAAACTAATCAATAAAGTCAACCACAAAGTACTGTGGGAATGCTGAGGAAGAAGAGGTTAGCTGAAAAGTTTTATAAAACTATTTTTATTCTGTCCTTCAGAGATAGTTTAACAGGTGAAAAAGGTGTTAAGAATTTTCCAGGCAAATGGGATAGGACAAGTTACATTTTCCCCAAAGCAAGCAATATGCTAGAGGGAAAGTATATGATCCAATTTGGATCTGGTTAGGGACAGTGCAGGTCCTTGAGGTCATGGAAAGGGTTGGATCCTTGTTCCCAGGACAATGATATGTTGACAGGTTTTAAGCAGAGGAGACAATCCAATCGGGTTCATTAAAAAGAAAGTTTTAAAAGTATCACCTCTGGGTGAGCTCTGGTGGCCTAGTGGTAGGAAACTGCACTGCAATCCCAGAGGTGCACGGTTCAAATCCACCAGATGCTCTGCTGAAGAAGGAGGAACAATTGCCTCCTGTACCAGTCAGATCCAATTTGATGGTACACACATAAAAAGAATAAATAAATAAAAATTATTAAAAAAAGTATCACCTCTGACTAGAAATGTAGAATGGATTTTTTTTTTATTTTAATGACTTTGTTTACAGAGTTTACAGGTTGCAGAGACTCTGGATTTCCTTTCATTCACTGTTGCACACATTCCTCCCTGACCACCCTTCCGCCCCACCCCCCACCCCCGTTCACTTTTCTCTTTGAAAAGTAAAAAAAAAAAAAAAAAAATTCTTTCATTGTTATACAATCCCAGTCCACTCAACTATGCAGCTTGCTTTCTGGACTTTTGTCATGACAATACTACTTAAGTATTTCTCCTAAACAATTCTCTCCCTCATCTATTTCAATACAATATACATTATTTATCCCCTCTTAGTTTCCCCCCCACCCCCGACGTCAGTCCCTCTTTACAACAGTGGCACTATGCAGTATTTGTCCTTTTGTGACTAAGATATTTTACTTAGCATAATATCCTCCAGGGTCACCATTTTGTATATTTCATGAGTTCCTTGTTTTTCAATGAAGCAAAGTATTCCATTGTGTGACTATGCAAGAGAGGAAGACCAGTGAGCTCATTGCGCTAATCAAGAAACTGATTGCCAAGAGTCTAGCGATTTGGTTGTGATGACGCAGAGACTCAAAGGCAGGATGGAAAGAAAGTTAGGATGGAAAGAAGAGGAGGTCTTCCAGATGTCGATAGAATGCACAGTGCAAATGGAAGTGAGGACTGAAGGAAGAGATTTTATTCTTAACAGCATTTTCACCTGTTTAAACGTCTAACTAGAGGGCGAAGAGAGGGCGAGGGTACAACTCACTGCGATGCCTAAGCCCGAGAGAAGGGCAGCCCGGAGCCCGACACGCGAACGCCGTGCGCACCGTGTCCCTCGCGCGGCGCCGTCGCCCACCGCGCAGTTTGGTCGCGGCAGCCGCCCAGGCAGTGGTTCCAGTTCCGCTTCCGGCTGGAATCCATCACCTGAGGCAACAGCGAGCAGAGATGGCGTACTCTACGGTGCAGAGGGTGGCCCTGGCCTCGGGTCTCGTCCTGGCCGTGTCGCTGCTGCTGCCCAAGGCTTTCTTATCCCGCGGACAGCGGCAGGAGCCGCCGCCGGCGCCCGAAGGTAAGAGCGGGCTGGGACCACCCCGAGGCGGGGCCGGCGTCTCCTGAGTTGTCGCCGGGCTTTGAGCCCGACAGTGAGAATGAAGGACGCTACGAGGGGAATGGGGACTCCGAAATCTGCGGTCCCCACCTAGAAACCCACGGAACAGGCGAGGGGGGCAGGCGGCGTTTGAGATGTACCCAGGGCCACGAGGTTCCCTGGGCATCAGCGGGCAGCGGCCCGGTGCCAGCAAGGACCTGGCCTTCCTCGAGGTTCTGCCGCCAGAAGGAGCCAGGCATCCCCGCCCGCGTGCCTGGACGCTCTTGAGTTTTGCGCATAACCTCATCTTGCTCTGCATCGACTGGGATGATTTGAGTTGAGAAAGCTTTCCATTAGATTTCCGTCCTTCGGTGCACGTGTGCTTTCTGTCCTGCATTTGTGTGAATCTTTTGAATTGATATTCTTAACCTGAACCCTTTGTGTGCTTTCCAGTTGCAGTAGGATCTCACCACTTCCGGTCCTTTTTGTAGCTCAATAAATACAAGTTGAAGATTTAAAATATCCCTCTTTTAAATACTGAGGTGAAAATAAGCAATGTCTGTATTCTCCAGACGTAAATATCATCTCTTTGTTAATGCTTTATTATTGACATGGTATTTACAAATCCATCCTATTGCTGTTAAGTGCCGTCGAGTCGTAGACGACTCATAGAGACCCCTATGATCAAAAGACCTGAACTCTTATATAACTTTCATCGTTTCTCCAGGTTCATAGAGTTTCCGTAGGCAAGCTATTTTGGAAGTGGATGCCACTCCTGCTTCCAAAAATGTTTAAATTGGGGAGCGCCACCAAACACTGACCACCATGGGTAATCTTTATCACATTTGACACGTCAGTGTCACAGTGTTTGGCAAAACAGCAACCACCTCTGTACAGGAAATGAACAGACCAGTGCTATACCTGTATTAGAAGAAAAAGGAGAATTACACAACCAGAAGTGTAAAGGCATGAGCACCAAAGAATGAGAGAAGGAATTTGGACAATTTTCTTGAGATCTTGAGCTTTTCCAAGTAACTTCTGTCTCTCATTGATCTCTGTTACATCTTTGTGAGCTGATTTTGTAGTGTCTGAAACCTTTCTCAGATATTCAGCCTGTTGACTGTTGGACAGCTCCCTGTGAACTTTCTCTTCCCTGTAACTTGTGCATATACTGGCTGTAGTTTCACCATTTGGAGGTTTTTGTTGTTGTTTTGGGGTTGGGTTTTTTGTGGATTTTTTGGTCAGATACACTTTAATTCTAGACATAATTTTTATTTTAGCATTTTATTTATTTTATTAGGTAGTAGAGTGCTCTTTTTTTTTAACTCTACTAGTTTATTTACAAAATTATCAGTACTGTAAATGGAAAGTACTAAGCACCAAGGAGTGATGGGAAGATTGAACACAGAAAGAATTCTGTCTACAGAATATTTAAACTTGTGAAACTGTTAACCTGTTGTTGTGTGTCATCAAGTCAGAACCGATTCATTCATAACTGACCCTCCAGCTGGTTTTCAGAGGTAGTTTGATAGCACAGGAGGAGATTGCCCATCTTTCTCCTGCAAAGCAGCTGGTGGATTTGAACCTTGGGATGGTAGTGCAGCTCCTTCCCACTAGGCCACAAGATTTCTCTGTTAATCTAGTATGGTTTTTGTTGCATGCCTTTAAGTCAGAAATAAGTCATAAGTGACTCTCCATTAGGTTTTCAGAGGCAGTTAATCACACAGGAGGAGACTGCTCATCGTCCTCCTGCATTAACCTGGTGGTTGTTGTTACATGCCATCAAGTTGACTGTGACTCATGCTGACTCAATGCACAACAGCTCTATCCTGAGCCAATCTCACTGTCTCTAACATACCTGATCCTATTACCCCAATTACTATTGTCAGTCCCTTTCTTCCAGAGTCTTCCTCTCCTGTGCTGTCTTTTCACCCTTCCAAGCATGATGCCCTCCAAGGACGGGTTTTTCCTGGCCACATGCCCAAAGTATGTAAGACAGAGTTTCCAAATCCTTTCCTCCAAGGATTTGGTTTCACCCTTTCCAGGACAGACTTGTTTGTTCTCCTGCAGTCCCCTGTATATTCAGTATTCTTCTCCAGCACCACGACTCAAAGACATTGATTCTTCTGTCCTCCTGAGTTATTGTCCAGTTCTCTGAGATTTTCCTATGTTTTCCTATCTCTTTGCCAATTTACATGTCTTGTATATTCTTTTCTTGCATCATTGCTCTGACTAGGACTTCTAATACAATATTGAATAGAAGTAATGGTAAAAGGACATTCTTACCTGGTTCACATTTACAAGAGAAATGCCTTCATTCTCTCTCTTAAGAGTAATATTAGTTGTTAGTTTTGTACATACACTTTTGATTATGTTGACATTGATTTTTGGTTCCTATTTTGTTGACTATTTCTATCAGGAAAGATTGTTGAATTTTGTCACTTTTTCTTTAAATAAAATTTTTATTTTGTACTCATTTACTGACAAAGTTTATATACATTGATTTTCACACTGGATCATTCCCATTTCCTTTTTTTAATACCCTCCCCTTCCTCCACATATCAAGTTGTGTGACCCTATGATTACCACCCTACTCCTATCCTTACCCCTCTGCTCCCACTCCACCTCCCTTGGATCCACATACATGTTTCTACAGTAATGATCTTATACAGTGTTTGTCCTTTTGGGACTGAGTTCACTTAACAAAATGATCTCCAGTCCCTCCAAAGTTTGGTATGATTTTCGAAATCATTGCTCCTACATGCACTACATAGTATTCCATCGTGTGAATGGTATCATAATTTCTCAATCCATTTGATGGTGGTTGGATATTTGGGCTGTTTCCGTGGTCTTGCAGTGGTGAATAACATGCCATAAACATTGGTGTACAAATCTCCATTTGTGCCTCAGTTCTAATTTGCTCGGGGTATACTCCAAGCTGTGTCATATGGAATTTCTTTGTTGAGGTTTTTGAGGAAATGCCAAACTGCCTTCTAGAGTCATTGTACCATTTTACAATCTCACCAACAGTGTATAATGTCAAATGCCTTTTCTGCTTTAATGATCATGTGGTTCTTTTCCTTTCATTTATGTGATATATTAACACTGTTTTTCTTTTGTTGAACTATCCTTGCATACGTGATATGAATCCTGTTAATGAAGAGAGATTTTTTTTCCTTTATATTATATTAGATTGAATTGGGTAAGATTTTGCTGAATATTTTTTTGTCTATGTTCCTAAGAGTTACTGATATATAATTTTATTTTTTAGGGATGTCTTTGCCTGGCTTTGGTATTTGGGTTGTCTTTGCTTCATAGAATGAATTCCAGAGTATTTCAGCTTTTCCTGTCTTTTGAAATAATTTGAGTTAGAATTGCTGTTCTTCTCTGAATGATAGAATTTACCAATGAAGCTGGTGGGGCCACAGCTTTTCTGGTTGGAAATATTTTTTTATAATCTATTCCGTTTTCTTCTTTTGGGATGGGTCTGTTAAAATTTTCTGCTTTGCCTATGTTAATTTAGATAGGCAGTGAATTTCTAAAGAAGTGATTGTTTTCTTCCTTTCTTTGGCCATGTTCCTCCCTCAAAGCCACAACTCCCTACAGACTACACCATGAGAGCTCCCTACAGTTCTTCATGTTGTTATGTGCCATTGACTCATTGCTGACGCTCCATTGGCATTCAGGAACTGTAAATCACATGTGAATAGACAGCCCTTCTTTCTCCCTTGGAGCTGCTGGTGGACTCAAACCACCTGCCTTTCAGTTGACAACACATCTCTGTATCACAAAGCCACCTGAGTCCCCTACAGCTCTTCTTAGGATTCTATGGTGGTCTTTTTCCTTTCATTTGGTACTGTTGTGATGTTACTAACTTAATTTCTAATTCATGTTATTTGTGTCTTCTTCATTAAATTTGCCAGGGCTTCATTGTTGTTGGTGTTGTGTTGTTATGTGCCGTAAAGTCATTTGTGACTCACAGCGACCCTATGTACAACAGCCATAAACCCTGCTTTATCCTGTGCCAATCTCATTGCCCCTGACACACCCATCCCGATTACCCCAGTCACTGAATCAATCCACCTCATAGAGGGTCTTCCCCTCCTGTGCTGTCCCTCCACTCTACCCAGCATGATGTCCCTCTCTAAAGACCTGTCTCTCCTTACAACATGTCCAAAGTATGTCAGACGAAGCCCCAGAATCCTTGCCTCCAAGGAGCAGCCTGTTTTAACCCTCTCTAGGATGAATCTGTTTGTTTTCTTGGCAGTCCATGGTACATTCAGTACTCCTCTCCAGCACCACAGCTCAAAGGCGTCAATTCTCCTTCTATCCTCCCTAGTCATTGTCCAACTCTCTGATGCATAACAAGTGATTGCAAAAACCATGGCCTGTATCAGGCGCACCTTAGTCTCCAGAGAGACACCGTTGCTCTTTAGTACTTTAGAGAGGTCCCTAACAGCAGACTTTCCCATCGCAATACGTTTTTTGATTTCCTGGCTGCTGGTGCCAAGAGTGTTGACGGTGGAGCCAAGCAAATGGAAGCTGTGAACAATCTCAATCTCTTCACCATCCATCCTGATGCTACCGATTGGTCCAGTGGTGAGAATTTTTGTCTTCTTGACATTGAGCCTCAGTCCATACTGAAGGCTGTAGTCTTTGACCCTCTGCAGCAAGTGCATGAGGTCCTCCTCAGTTTCAGCGAGTAGGGTTGTGTCATCTGCATAATGCAGATTATTGATAGGGCTTCATTAGATTTGTCAATTTTATTAATCCCTTAAAAAAACCACCTTCTTACTGAGTCTTCCTATGTTTTTTCTATTTTGTTTATTTCTGCTTTAATGTTTTTAAAATATGTGTATTTATTGCTATAAATCAGGCTCTAAATACTAATTTGGCTATGTCTCCAAGGTTTTGAAGTGTTATGTTTTCATTCTCATTTGTTTCAAGAAATTTTTTCATTTATTTTACAATTTCTTCTGTTATAGAGTGGTGTTTGAATAGTGTTACTTTGTTTCCATTGATTTTTTTCCAATCTTCCTGTTGTTGGCTTCTAGTTTTATAGCATTGTGACTGTCCAAGATGGCTTTGTAAAGGACATCATCATACTTGAAAGGGTAGAGGGTTGGTGCAGGGGAAGAAGATCCTAGAGGAGATGCATTGACACAGTGACTGGCAGTGGGAGCTGGTGTGTCAAAGCAAAGACATGTGTTGTTAGCTTCAAATTTTATAGCACTGCAACTGTCCAAGATGGCTTTGTAACGTCTATATTTTTAATTGATTGAGGCTTGCTTAACTTAACATATGGACTGAAGAGCTAAGGAAAGATTTATGCTCATCCAGAAATATTCTGTGTTTGTGTGTGTGTGTGTTTATTAATTATTATTAATTTCCATGAAAATTTACAGAGACTTTGGATGTCCATTCATTCGTTGTTGCACTTTCCTCTCTGCCCAACCCCATCCCCCTAGTATACTCCCTCTATGAAAAGTAAAAGGAAAATTCTTTTATTGTCTTACAGTTCTTCCCCCCAGGTCTTCTCCACTATGCAGCCTTCGCTCTGGACACCCGTCATGACAAAAATACCTAATCACATATCCCTTTTAAATAGTTTTCTCCCTCATCTGTTTCAATGCACTATACATTATTTAACCCATCTTTCTCAGTCTCCCCTCAACCCCGATGTCAGTCCTGTTTTACAACAGTGGCACCATGCAGTATTTGTCCCTTTGTGACTGGGACACTTGACTCAGCATAATGTCCTCCAGGGTCACCCATTTTAAATAATATTGCATGACTTCCTTGTTTTTCAGTGTAGTATTCCGTTGTGTGAATATACCACAGCTTTTCTATCCATTTGTTTGTTGATGGACACTTAGGTTGTTTCCAACTCCTTGCTGTTGTGAACAAAGCCGTGATAAACATGGGTGTGCATATATCTGCTTGGGTGGCAGTTACGGTCTCTTAGGGGTATATTCCCAGTAGTGGAATTGCTGGGTCAAATGGTATCTCTGTTTACAACTTTTTGAGAAAGCGCCATACTGCCTTCCACAGTGGTTGCACCATTTTACAGTTCCACCAACAGTGGATAAGGGTTCCAGTTCCTCCACAACCTCGCCAGCATTTGTTGCTTGCTATTTTGTTAAATTTTGCTATTCTTACTGGGTTGAGATGATATCTCATAATTGTTTTGATTCAGAAATATTCTTAATGGTTAACAGGTATGGGATGAGAGGGAGAGGAAAGTAAAAAAAAAAGGATCAATTGGATGAAGGGACAGGCAATCTACATTAATGAGTTGGTCAGACATTAGAATTAATTATTACATTAATAAATTATAATGAATGTTATAAAATAATGTGTATGATACGAATGTTTGAATAAAAACCCCATGTTTTGTAAATTTTCACTCAAATTTTTTAAAAAAATAACAAAATATTAAAAGAGTAAGAATGAAACAAACAGATTCATCCTCGAAAAGGTTAAACTGGGAGGCTCCCTGGAGGCAAGGATTCTGAGGCTTCGTCTAACATACCTTGGACATGTTGTAAGGAGGGACCGGTCCTTGGAGAGGGACATCATGCTTGGGAGGGTGGAGGGACAGCACAGGAGGGGAAGACCCTCTATGAGGTGGATTGATTCAGTGACTGGGGTAATCGGGATGGGAGTGTCAGAGACAATGCGATTGGCACAGGACAGAGCAGAGTTTAGGACTGTTGTACATAGGGTCGCTGTGAGTCGCAAGTGACTCGACGACACATAACAGCAACAAGAATGACACTTTGGACACTAAGCTATGATATTTTCAGTTGCCTCATATGAATGTTAAAGTTGGACAGTGAATAAGGAAAACAGAAGAAGAATTGATGCATTTGAATTGTGATATTATTTTGAGCTGTTGAGTTGACTGTGACTCATAGCAACCCCATGAATAGCTCTGAACCCTGCCTTTTCCTGAGCCAGTCTCACCGTCTCTGACACACCAGCTCCCTTTGCCACATCACTGTGTCAGAGCATCTTCTCTAGGATCTTCTTTCCCTGTGCCAATCCTCTACTCTTTCAAGTATGATGTCCTTCTCCAAGCACTGGTCCCTCCTGGCTACATGCCCAAAGTATGTGAAAGAGTTTTGAAATCCTTGCCTTCAAGGAGCAACCTGGTTTTACCCTCTCTATGATAGACCTGTTCTCTTGGCAAGCTGATGTGTTCAGTACTCTTTTCCAGTACCACAACTCAAGGTTTTTTCATCCTTAGTCATTATCCAGTTCTCACATGAATGACAAGCTACTAAGAAGACCATGCCTAGATCAGGCATATCTTAATCTTCAGATTGACATCATTGCTCCTTAGCACCCTGGAAAGGTCCCTGACAGCAGACTTTCCTAAAGCAACTCATCTTTTGATTTCCTGGCTGCTGGTGCCAAGAGTGTTGATTGTGGAACCAAGCAAGCTGAAATTGTTAACAATTTTAATCTATCTTAATCTTCTCCATCTATCATGATGCTGCCGCTTGGCACAGAGAATCTTTGTTTTCTTGATGTTGAGCTTCAATTCATATTGAAGACTGCAGTCCTTGACCTTCTGCAGCACATGCTTCAATCTCTCTTCAGTTTCGGGGAACAAGGTTATGTCATCTGCATAACACAGATTATTGATGAGTCTTCTCCAGTCTTGGTGCCACATTCTTCTTTATAAAGTCCACCCTGTCAAAATTGAAAAGGTGTGGGGAATGGATACATCTCTGACACAATCCTTTCTTGATTTTAAACCATGTATTATTCCTTTGTTCTGTTCGTACAATAGCTTCCTGATCTAGATGTGGGTTTCACATGAGCACAATCAACTGTTCTGGGATTCCCTTCTTAATGTTTGCCACAAATTGTTGTGATTTGCATAGTCAATAAAGCACAAATAGACATCTTTTTGGTACTCTCTGCTTTCAGCCAAGATCCATCTGACATTGGCAGTGATATTCCTACTGCCATGGCCTCTTCTAAAGCCAGCTTGTATTTCTGGCAGCTCTCTGGTGATGTACTATTTCAGTTGTTTTTGGATCATCTTCAGCAGGATTTTGGTTGCATGTGATATTGTTCAATAATTTCCATACTTTGTTTTTGCAGGTGCTGTCGAGTTGAGTGTAACCCATAGCGACTTCGTAAACAATGGATCTAAACCCTGTCATATCCTGTGCCATCCTCACACTTCCTGGCACATTAGAGTCCATTGGAGCAGTCACCACGTCTACCTGGCTGAAGGTCTTCCTCTCCTTTGCTGACTCTCTACCTTTTTGAGCATCATATCCCTCTCCAAAGAATACCCCCTCCTGGGAACATGCCTAAAGGATGTGAGGAAAAACCTCATCAGCTTTGCCTCTAAAGAGTATTCTGGATGTACTCTGTCCAAGAAATATTTCTTTGCTCTTTTGGAAGTCCATGGGATGTTCAGCACTCATCTCCACAGCTCAAAGGCATCCATTTTTCTTCTGTCATCCTTATTCATTGTCCAGCTCTCAGAAAGACCATGGTCTCAACCAGATACATCTTAGTCCTCAAACTGACATCATTACTTCTCAAGAACTTAGAGAGATCCTTAACTGCAGACTTTCCCAGTGCAATAAGTCTCCTGATTTCCTGACTGCTGAGATACCAAGCATGTTAATTTTGGATCTAAGTAAAATGAAGTTGTTGAGGGTGTCAACCTTTTCTCCATCTTAACATGATGCTTCCTCTTGGTCCAGTGACCTAGTGATAAGAGTTTTTGTTTTCTTGATGCTGAGGTATAGTCCATATTTAAGGCTGTAGTCTTTGATCTTCTACAGCAAGTCCTTCAAGTCTTCTTCACTTTGGGTGAGCAAGGTTGTGTCATCTGCATAGCACAGGTAGATGGATTTTGCCCTGATCTTGATGTCACATTGTTCTTCATAAAGTTCAGCTTTATGAATGATTTATTTAGCATACAAATTGAATAGGTATGGAGAAAAGATAGTCTTGATACACACTATTATTGATTTTAAACCATGCTGTGTTCCCTTGCTCTGTTTAGACAACAGCTTTTTGGTCTGGGCATGAATTTTGCAAGAGCACGATTAAGTGTTCTGGAATTCCCATTCTTCTCAGTGTTATCCATAATTTGTTGTGATCTTCACATTTAAACGCTCTTGCATAGTCAATAAAACAAATAGACAGCCTTCTTATATTCTTATATTCTCTGCTTTCTGCCAAACATCCATCAGACATTAGCAGTGGTAGCTCTGGTTCCATGTTCTCTTCCAAATCTGCCTTGGATTTCTGGCAGGTCCCTGCCAATAAACTGTGTTAGCCATTTTTAAATAATCATTAGCAAGATTTTGCTTGCATGTGATATTAATGTTTAATGGTCCTAAGACAATATAAATGTCTCACTCACGTGAATATTTCCAGATTCTAAGTTACTGGGGTAACAATAATGGAGGATTCTGTACCAGATTATTATTATTCAGGAACTCAAGCTGATGGAAACTCTTTCATTTTTCAACACATGACTTCCTGGGTCTCCACATCTAGCCTGCAGTATGGAGTTTAATACATAAGAGATTTTGGTTCCTTTGGCTGGCATTCAGTCACAGCCACATGTAAGTCCATGGAAAGTTATGAAATGTACTCTAATTGCAATGCCAAAAGGAAGAAAAATGGTCTTGATGTATAGCTAGAGACTACCACATCACATTTGGAATCTGTTTGATCAAGTTGTTGGAGTTTTTAAAACTTGTGAGTTGGCTTCTGTTATTTATACTTAAATGCATACCATACATTGTTAGTAATGATATTCATAATAGTAAGAGAAGTAAAGACAGACTCATTTATTTTCTTAGGAAAACTGGGTCGATTGCCACCCATGATGCATCATCACCATACACCTTCTGATGGCCAAACCACTGGTGCCCGATTCCAGAGGTCTCATCTGGCAGAGGCGTTTGCAAAGGCCAAAGGACCAGGTGGAGGTACTGGAGGAGGAGGTAGTGGAAGAGGCCTGATGGGACAGATTATTCCAATCTATGGTTTTGGGATTTTCTTATATATACTTTACATTTTATTTAAGGTAAGTGGAGTAATTTTGGTCATCTATCTCTGGAAACCATTAAAAACCTTTATAGTTCATAACTCTTTCTAGTCCATCATTCCTATAAAACATGTCTTCTTTTTCTGAAATACTGAGGAGTTAGTATTACTTCATTTTAGCTGTTGAGAAAAATCTCCCTAAGCCTTTTATTTGCCTAGAACTGACAACTAAAAAGATAAAACTCAGACTTGAACCTAGATCTTCTGATCTTATCTAGTGAGCAGTCTAAAGACAAAACAGTTTTTATAGAGCTTCATTCCTAGCTTAAAAAAAATCTCTTTGTTGTTAGGAATGGCAGACTGACTTCCAGGTAGTCACTGTGAAGCCAGATAATGATTGTGTCAGCATCACTTAGTTTCTTCAACCTCAGAAATAAGGTACTGTTTTTTTATATCATCTCCAGTGATTATCTTGAGGCAGAAATGTCTGTCATGTCCGGCAATTAGCATTTCTTAGCTTTGGGGAGAAATGCTTTGAATCTTTTAAAAGCTGAAAACTTGAAATAATCAATTTCATTGTTCTTGAGTCAGAACCAACTCATAGCTAATCTTCTAACCTTCTAGCACATTTTGAGAGGCTATAAACTGCCCATCTTTCTTCATGGGTTTGAACTTCCAGAGAGGTTCCACCTTTTTTTTTTTTAAACCTGCTCTTAATGTACTGCACCAGCAGAGTGCCCTCTTTTAAAAGCATGGTGTCATTTAAGTTCCACCTCAAGGCAAACTTTTCAGGCCGTGGGCCTAATATACTATGAGGTGGATGCAAAAGTTTCATTTTGCCCTTCTGAGTAAGGTATGTTTGTTGTTACCCAGAAATTCTTTCACTAATTTATGCTGACTCCAAGAATGTTTCTGTGTCTTGATACCATTTTTTACTTGAAGACTCTCTCATGGTTTAGTAATTTGTTTTGCTTTGAGAGCTGCTTCTTTAATGTTGCTTTGATTTGTTGTTTGATTTTATTTCTGACTTAATTTTCATCTCCCACACTTTTAATTTTTTTCCCATTTAATATGAGGGGTTCCATGACTGAGGTTCTGAGCTGCTGTTGATGTGCTGTACCTCCTTCAATTCTCAGCTCTCAAAAGGAAAAACAACTGCAGAAGATCAGAAATACTCTACTGCCACACCTGGAAACAACCACCGAAAAATTAGTAAGTTCCTTTTCTTAGTATAATCAAAGTAGTATTGAATTGGTCATTTATAGTATAGCCAAAGGGATAATCTTTTGCATGAAAACGTTTCTCTTAAGTTACTCTGAATTAGTCTAATAAAATTTTCACTTTAACTTTGATAGCTCTCGAGAAAGTATAAAACCAATACTCCACTGCTTTGTCTATTAGGAAATTAGCATTTTTAATTTGAAATGAGTTATTTATCATTTTCAAACTTCAGAATACAATAAATAAAAAATAAAGATAGCAGGTATCTTTATTCTACAGAGAAGAAAACGGAGAAAAATCCTAACATTGCAAAATCCAGTTAATAGATTCAGGGACAGAGTTTAACATTTCTGACTCTTGACTTTTTGGAACACAGTCATCAAGGATGTATTGACTACCTAGAGTATTCTGTGCCCCCTGAGGAAATGAAAATGCAGAAAACATGGCTCTTTTTTCTAAAAATTTATAGTATAAAATGTGTGTCAGGAGATGAAGAAGAAGGAGATGGAGCAGTTGTTTGAGATGAAGGTCAAAGAAAAAGTGCAGAAATTGAAGGATTCTGAAGCTGAGCTCTAAGACATCAAGAGCAAATGAAAAAGAATTTGAAAGCACAGCATAAAGAGAGGGAAAATGTCATCAGTTTGAAGATGAGAAAGCAAACTTGGAAGCTTAACAACTTATATTAGGATAGCAGAACTCAAATGTTTGAGAACCTTGGAGAAGAATAAGGAAGGGAAGATCTTTTAAACTCTCTATTGGTCCCCAGCCATGGCCAGTCTTTCATAGTTTTTGTTCAGACATTCCTCTAGGTTGTATAGCCTTGGTGTACAAGTTGCTGTACAACGGTCACTTGTGGTTGCTGTGAGGCTGAACACAGTGACCCCAATGTGTCAGATGCGTTAATGGTTGGCTACTCAATACAGACAGAGAGTGGGGTGGAGCTCCCCGATTAAAACAAGCTTGGAAGGAGGAGTGGCATCCACTTCCTTAATAGCTTGCCTCCGGAAACCCTATGAACCTGGAGAGAGGATGAAAAGCACCCAAGCGTCGAGGACTCTCCTTCATAGGGTCGCTGTGAGTCACCTGCAACTCGACGGCACTTAACAACAATTGGCCACCAGTTAGGTATTAGTTGCCATAATGCCAGCTTGGACATCAGAGTTTTTTGGATCTATTTGACCTGTTTGCACCAATTCTATCCATAATGATGGATTTAACAGCATGACAGAATTTTTTTGTTGTTCTTTCCCCCCCCCCCATTTATTTCTTTTTTGTTGTTGTTCTTGATGGAGATTATGATGCCTCGAATTGTCTCTTATTATGCACTTAGTAACAACTCTTAAGTACTTTTTTTTTTTGGTTAAACAGATAATTTCAGTTTAATGCAAGAAAACATTTTACTGTTACACAGTCATGTTCTGATGGTTTGATTGTTTACAGGATATTCCAAAAAAAAGGACTGTGGAAGGTTTTCATTGAGGATGAACTGCCGTAATATGATGTAAACTATGCTTCTCTGTAATAATTAAAATGCAAAGTTCCATGCAGTGCAGCATATACAACAGTATCACTTGTTGTTATATCCCATATCACTTAGTCTAACACAATTGACCCTATTTTTGACACTTCCATTGTTTAAAAATACACATAGGGGAAAAACCCTACAATGCTTACCGTGCACCTAGAGCTCTTCTATAACAACCATTTTTGTTTGTCTGTTTTGAATTCCTTAAATATATATTTTCTCATTTAGTACCCTTGTTAGTCAGAATCTCATTACTGCTTCATTTTTTTAATAATGTTTAATTTAGATATTTTCTACATATTGGCCCTTGGCCCTGCTAAAATAGAATATGGCATCTTTTATATGATAGAAACCAACAAACCTTCCTTTAACTCCCTTTTTACACTCTGTGGTAAGTAACAGGTGGAGGGGGAATGCATTTACTGATCATTTCTAGGCAAAATTGTGAAACTAAGGAGCAACTTGTTTCTGCCTATGTGCTATCTCTTTATTTTACTAGAAATGGGAATCATGACCTCTTAAATGGCAAGGGGAAAGTCACCATTCTTCACTTAGCTGTATTCATATATTGCATTTCTGTATTATAAAAATTCACATAATAAACAATACTGTGATGTTTAAAAAAATGTGTGTCAGGAAAAGTAACAGAAAATTTAATTACCTGTAAAGAAGACAGTTGGCAAAAGCATTATGAGAAATCATGTCTAACTGGGTGGTTGGAAAAAGAGGTCCATCAGGTAGATAAGGTAGTTTCAATAAGACACAACAGATAACCAAGTGATTTTGAGTTTATGGACTTTGAAGAGTGATCACACATGACAGCTGTGGAAAAGACATCCTCATTAGAAAGTAAATTATGACCATATCATTGGAAATTAAACTACTTTATCCTGTCTTCAGTGCAGAGCAAGGGAACATTGCATGGTTCAAAATCAGGAAAAGAATACGTCAAAGATACCTCCTATCTCCATACCTTTTCAATCTATATGCAGAACAGATCATTTGGGAGGCTGCACTTTCTGATGAAGAAATTGGCATCAGGATTGGAGGAAGACTCATCTGCAACCTGAGATATCCAGATGAACAACCTTGCTTGCTGAAACTGAGAAGCACCTGAAGCATTTGCTTCAGAAGGTCAGGGACTGTAGTCTGCAATATGAATTGAAGCTCAACATCAAGAAGACAAAGATTCTCATCACTGGGCCAATTGGCAGCACCACAATAGATGGAGAAGAGATTGAGATTGTTGACAGCTTGCTTGGGTCTACAATCAACACTCTTGGCACCAGCAGTCAGGAAATCTAAAGACAAAATACATTAGGAAAATCTGCTGTCAAGGACCTCTCCAGAGTTCTAAAGAGCAATGATGTCAGGCTGGAGACTTAGGTGAGCCTGATTCAGACCATGATCCTTCCAATTACTTGCTTTGTATCAAAGAACTCGACAATGACAAAGGTCATAACTGCTTTTTAAATTTCCTGCTGCGTTTTCTGTAGGACTAGATAACATTGTTGGCATGTGCTATCGAATATGCTTTTGAATTGTGCTGGAGAAGAGTCTTGAACATACCATAGACTGCCAATAGAATAAACAGGTCTGTCCTGAAGAGGGTGAAACCAGATTATTCCTTGGAGGCAAGGATTTTGAAGCTCCATTTCACATTCTTTCGGCATGTTACCAGAAGGGACCAGTTCTTGGAGAAGGATTTCATGCTTGGAAGGGTGGAGGGACAACACAAGAGATAAAAACCCTAAATGAGCTGGATTGACACAGTAACTGAGGTAATAGGGGTAGATATGTTGGGGACAGTGAGATTGGCTCAGGATAGAGCTGGGTTCAGAGCTGTTATTCATAGGGTCTCTGTGAGTCACAGGTACTTGACACACATATCAGCAACAACATCTTGTGGATAATGAAGCCTTATTAGAAGGTTAAGAGGAAAAAGACTTCATCAGAATGAACTGTGATGTGTAGTTGAGCCACTGAAGCATCTTCCCTGGGGCATAAGTGCTTTTTTAATTTCTTCCTGGATTTTCTGTAGAACTAGATAACATTGTAGTCATGTGCTATCAAATAGGAACCAATTCATAGCTGACCCTCCAGTAAGTTTTCAGAAGCTATATATCACACAAGAGGAGATTGAATTTCTTCTGCAGAGCAGCTAATAGATTTGAACCACCTGCCTTGGGTTGGCAGTGCAACTCTTTACCTGCTTAGCTACTAGAGCTTCCTAGAGGAATAAAGTCTGGTCATATTCTGGATAGTTTTGGGAAATCTTAAATGGTTACAGAATCCTTTAAGCTAGCTGTTAAGTTCTTAGCTGAAATAGTGTCTAACTACCAAGGATATTAAATGCATCAGTAAAATAATTTTAAAAACGGTATGGCTCTGTAAAGACTAGCAGTTTCTGTATCCTGTCATGTAATGCAATTAAAAGAAAACTAAATAAATAAAATTCTTAAAAGCAGTTGTTTCAATAATTATGATTAATATAATTATATCAGTTTCTTATCTTTTGATTTTGAATTATACACAATATAAAAATAAGCTAAGTACATACTATCACTCTTATTTTCTAAATACTTATCAGTGTTAACTGCATGCTAAGAGTATATTCTTAGGCCATTAAGGGGCTTTTAAAATCATACATTTTGTAATGATTCTCTTAATATATCTAAGTAGAAGAGTACTCTGGTGTAAAATATTTTAAAACTATATTATCTTTATAATAACTTCATTACTGCTTTAAATTTTATTTCGTGTGCTAATTGATTAATTATTTTCTGTTCTACATTTATGGCCTTTTGTTGTCAGTAGGTAGATGTTGATAGATCGTGTTGTTCTAATAGATAGATGTGTTCCATACTAACCCATCGTTTAAAAAACTGCTTCTGGGAGGTGGGGTTCTTCAGGAAGGATCCTTCGAGGTCCCTGAGACAGCAGGGGTAGAAGACCTTGGAGGATGTCTCATTCTCAGTTGAAGATTACCTCTGTTGAAGAAGCTTAACATTTAAACTATTACCTGCCAGCTGTGTCTTCACACCTTAGGTGCAGGTGAAATATTGCTTCTTTCAGGGTCTAACTTCAAAATACCTTATAGATCTCATTCTTTACAATCAAACATTTGTATTCTTAAGAGTACGTTCATCTTTTTCATGTCTTCTTGGTAATTTACAGAAGTGTGTCTTCTTTTTTATGTATTTTCTTTAGCCAGTCCTGCTGAATTTCTTTGTGTTAAAGGGAGTGATTTGCTCATCCCCCACTAACCATGTCTTACAGATCTCTCTGCCCAGACTTCATTACCCTTTTTGTCTGGATAGGATTAGCTGGGGAATTTTTGAGTCTATCCTCTGAGTCTCAGAGCACCCTGGATTATTGTAGACCATCACAGCTAGCTGTGTTTCAGAAAGGGCTTAGTGAGTTGTCAGTGGTGGTTCTTAGGTTGATACTTATTTTTCAGCCAATTTTGAGCTTGCTCAATTGCAAGAAAAACTGAAAGAGACAGAGGAAGCCATGGAAAAATTAATCAACAGAGTGGGACCTGATGGTGAGAGGTAAGTTTCCAGAACATTTCTCATTTAAAGAATCAACTAAAATTTCTGCTTTTCTTTGATCTATGGGCCACTTGTTTTTATTTTGTATAATTATCAATTTATTTGCCTTTTGAATATAATTTCTGATATAATATTGCAATTTTCACATTATATGCAACCTTATTTTAAAGAGAAAAATCCTGTTTAAAATTGTACAAGTTACTGAGTAAAGGAGTAAAATATGTCAGAATAAAATATGCAGTTTCAGAAACTTATTTTTAAAGCTTATATGAAAAGGGAAATGAAAATGTTTTGAATGTATTTAATAAAACTTTTCAGACATAAGAAAACTTATATTGATTAGGATATAGCTCAATTATATGTTTAAGTAATGAAGTTTACTTGGAAGTCAGTATTATGCCCAGACATGTTTGCTATTAAACACAGTATCTAGCCCAAGGATACAAAAACAAAGGAAAGAATCTAGGAATCACAATCAGAGTGTTGTAATTTCTGTCCTGGGTCAGCAAAATGTTCTCTCTGGAGAAGCATGACCAATGCCAGTGAGTAATCCACATCCTGAAAGTATGACATAATCTGAGATTAGCGGGGAAGCAGTAAGGGTGCAGTCTCTGCCAACAGCCCTGACATTCATGATGTATATGTTTATGAAACTACAGGTTTCTGGCATGGATTGCTGGAATATAAGCTTTTTGAAGACATATTTGGTACATATGGGATTTTATTGTACACATATTTCTTAGTATGCGTATACTCAGCAAATACTTAAGAGACTTGCTTTTCATACATGTACCTTACTTTCAAGATGTACTTTGTACATAGATTCATGGTAGAAGATTATATCGTGACCATTCCCTAATTAGACCCTTTTCACTTTCCATTTGTGTGGTGTCCTGGGTTTATTATTTAGCATGGCTTTCCTAGTTTTGACTTTCATTACATGACCTGGTGAAAACCCAAAATAGATTATATATGGACTAAGCATTATTAAATTGGTCCGTTTTCTCCACCACACCAAGTTAAATTGAATTAGTTTAACAGTGAAGGCAAGGATCTCATTACCAGCAAAGAAGAGGAAGCAGAGAATATAGTTCAGGACCTTCAAGGTCAGGGATTTGTTTCTGCCTATGTGCTATCTCTTTATTTTACTAGAAATGGGAATCATGACCTCTTAAATGGCAAGGGGAAAGTCACCATTCTTCACTTAGCTGTATTCATATATTGCATTTCTGTATTATAAAAATTCACATAATAAACAATACTGTGATGTTTAAAAAAATGTGTGTCAGGAAAAGTAACAGAAAATTTAATTACCTGTAAAGAAGACAGTTGGCAAAAGCATTATGAGAAATCATGTCTAACTGGATGGTTGGAAAAGAGGTCCATTAGCAGCCTCACAGAGAACCAGGGACTAACATGAGACAGAACTGACTTTGGACTACTGCCACAAGGAGCCAGAGCTAGGGATCTTCACTCAAGGTTGCTGGAAGACTGAGGCAAGATGCCATAAATGGTGGGAATAAGGAAACTTTAACACTAATCTATGCTGTGAGGCTGAAGGTCAGTGGCCCTGCAAATATGCTTGAGAAGCTAGCTAGACTCAATTATAGCCTGTTTTCAACCTGAATTATAACCAATTAACTTCCCTAACAAACTCCCTAACTGTGAGTATGGTTCTGTGAGATCTGTGTCTGGCAATTCCAACAGATTTCAAACCCTGTAGTAAAGCAGCATTATTGGTGTTGGAAATAACATTTATCAACAGATGATAAATGTTTCTTGAATGAATTATTTCCAAGATAAAATTCATCACCTACACTCAGCTGAACCTATTCTACCTTTTATATTCCCATCTCAGCAAATGATTCTGCCATCTGCTTAGTTGCCGAGAACAGAAATTAGACATCATCCTTGGTTCACCTTTTTCTTTATTTCCCATAGCTCATCAGTTACCATGATGGGTCATTTTCACCTAATTAATAAAGTTTTTTTCTTCACAAAAACCTCTAAGGGTCAGAGGTTACTCTAATTCCTAGAACCTAGCACAGGCCCATCCATACACATGGCCATCAAATTGGTTCCAAATCATATCAACATTGTAGGTCAGAATACAACTTTGGAACAGAATAAAACATAGGGTTTCTGAGGATGTAAAACTGCCTAATTGTGGAGTCAAGGGTTTATTGTTCAAAATGGCTTTCCTAGTCATTGATTGACTTTGCCACATGGGTGGACTAGAACAGACAGATAGGGTTTGTTGGTCTATCCATAAGGAGATAGGCTAGTTTCACCATTTATTTGAGTGGATTCAGCATTAGAAATTTGAATCTCAGTGCCAACAAGGAAGAGGGAAGCAATGTTTGTCCTTTGGAGTCAGAGAGAAAAAGTTCTTGAAAGTAGTTGATGTAGCAATAATGCTTTTTTTGGTACCTATTTTCATTTGTTCTGTGTGTCCCTGGATAACTGTCATCAGTAGGCATTATTTTCTGTACAATCTCAGAGAGGTGAAGTGTACTCTAGGAAGGTGTATTATTTTATGGTCAGTGTAACAAATCAACACAAACTTAGTGATTTAAAGCAACGCAGATAAGGAGAGGTGTGGATATGCATGGTTTCACTTTATGGATGGTTTCATTTGAACTGCAAGTGAAAGAGGGATTGGTTCCCACTAAGGAAAACTATTAGGTAGTGAAGAGCAATGAAGGAGAAGAAAGAGAGAAATAGGAGTTTGAGATTTATACCCCAAACTGGAAGAAAATAGATGCTGTTTACCAGTATATAAACACAAAAGGGGAGAGAGAAGGTAAGGCTTGGGAATAAGGATTATGAGTTCATCTTTGAATATAGGCAAAGTGTCATCAGAACATCCATGTGAAATTTACAATGTCAGTAGGAAATTTGGGGTTCAAGGTTAGGACAAAGGATGTAGGTTTAGAAGCCACTTTCCTGATGTTGAACAATAAAGGCCATAGGGAAAGATGAGATCACCAAATCCTCATGGTGTGTTGCTTTGTGCTGTAGTTTACTGACCTGCAGTTTTCTCTTAATGGTCTGAATTTATTCTAACTATGAATGGTAGTGTTAGAGCTGTTTCATTTTCTCTGTATTTAACCCTTAGACCTTTATGAGTCCTGTGGTTTGTAGCATTCACAAGTTTCTTAAGGTTATCTCCTACATGTGACCCTTCATTTTTCTGATATCGTAGACTCTTCATAGCTAATCCTGCATGGTCTATATGCATGGTTTCTTGCAACTGTTCTGCAAAGCTAGGCCTAGTTTTAAGGGGTTAATTTAAAATTAATTTCAAAATAGTGGCAAGCCTTCTCATTGAAAATTCTCAGTAGATAACTGGAGTTTAGAGGCTAGCCTCCTTGTGAAAAATAAAAATGAGAGATAAAGATTCGCCATTATCTGTGTAGAGGTAGAAGGAACTCTGGTGGCATAGTCCATAGCGTGTTGCACTGCTGACCCAAAATGCACTCTCCTCAGGATAACGATGGGCAGTCTTCTCTTAAGATGTGCAGCCTCACACGCGCGATAGAGAGTTCACTCTGAGTTGGAACTGACTCAATAGCATTGAGTGAGTGTAGAGTTCATGGCTTAATCTGTGATACAGAGTCAGCCTCCTGAGGAAGTTCACATAGAGAGATGAGAGATTCAAGCCTGAGCCTTTGGGGAAGTCAAGTTTTAGGAGGTGAGAAGAGGAGCATTGTGTTTCTGACTCATAGCGGCCCTCCATTAGGTTCCAAGGCTGTAAATTATAGCAGGAGGAGATTACTCATCTTCCTCCCACAGAGCCCCTGGTAGACTTGAACTGCCAGAGACGTGACTCCTTTGGGTTAACATTGAAACTCACTGCAGACTACACCAGAAATAGAAAACATGCAAATGTCACAATAAAGGAGGAGGATGTTTCACAGAGAGGGTATTACAGAGTAGATCTTGAGGACCACTGAAATGTGAGAAAAAGAACCCGCAGCTTGAATGTAGTTATTTATGGTTTTTACAACTTTGATAAAATAGTGTGATAGAAGCCAGGTTCCAGAGAGGTGGGAGAAGATGAATGGCAGAAAAATGGGGACCAGTCAAACTAAGAAATATTTATTGAGCACTTTCACTGTTCATGGCACTGTGCCTGTAATGTTGTGAATTCATTATGAACAACCCTCTAGGAATATTGTACTAACTTAAGACAATAAGGAATCCATGAAAGCATTAATTGCAATTAATTCAAAAGATGAATAAGGTGGGCTATGAGTAATTACCTAATGCATGATGTAGACAATAACAGTATGAATACTCGTTCAGCTTTAGTTTGAGATTCTCTGAGAAAACTTGTCTCACATCTGATTCTCTTGGTCTAGCAGCCGGCTATCCCTCTTTTAGTTGTTGTTTATTGCCATCGAGTCAAGCATGACTCCTAGTGACCCTCTGAACAAAAAGCCTGAAGCCTTTCTATTGTTTCTCCAAATTCATAGCGTTTCCAGAGGCATGTGGTTTAGGAAGTGGATACCACTCCTGCTTCAAAACCTGTCTTAAACTGGGAGCTCCACCAAACACTGTCCACCATGGGCAGCCATTATGGCATTTGACCTCCCTAGTGGCATAAGGTTCAGCATCACAGCAAACCCAGATTACCTCAATGCAGCAAATTGACAGAGGAATGCTGTACATCCATGCCTTTGGGGATATTATTGTTGTTAATATTATGTGCCATCGAATCACCTGAGACTCATGTACAATAGCCCTAAACCCTGCTCTATCCTGTGTCAGTCTTACTGTCTCTGACACACCTACCCCCATTACCCCAGTCACTGAATCAATCCATCTCGTCTAAGGTCTTTCTCTCTTGCACTATCTCTCCACCCTCCCAAGCATGATGTCCCTCTCCAAGGGACGGTCCCACCTTGCAACATGTCCAAAGTGTATCAAATGAAGCTTCAGAATCCTTGCCTCCAAGGAGCAGCCTGGTCTCACCCTCTTTAGAACAAACCTGTTTG